CCTAATTACTCATAGTTGAACCCTTACTGAAAAAGTTATTCATTCAAATAAGAAATAAACTGAGCAAATTAAAGGCACAAAATATTCTGATAAATCAGATTTTAATTGCATTTTTGAAACTTACACCATTATGCTTATGGCAAACTTCATATGTCTCAGGGACGTAACCAGACCATTTAAAATTGTGCGCACAGATTTTGAAAATTCTCAGGTACGATTATATTCCGTGAAAAATACACTGAATTTATGGAGAATAATATCATGGTTGGCTCAAAAAATTGTACGCACAGTGCATCCGTGCGTATGCCTGGTTACGCCCCTGTGTCTATTTATTTAATCCTAAGAACTTTGCTAGGTCAATTTTATCATTTTTGTTCTCTTGAAACAGAATTCATTTTTGTATCTCAATCATATCATCAACCCCATGTGATCAATCTAAATTTTCGTTCTTTTTCACAACTTCTGCAGTTTCAATTTTTCAACATGGCATAATATATATAAATTCACAATGCTTATCAAATACAAGCTTACATTTTGATAGACAATTCCCAAATCCTTTTCTTTCAATTTGTTTTGTTTTCCTTTCTTTTTTTTCTTATTATTTTTTTTTTTTCAGTGCAAAACGCATTTTCAAAGGAAATTCAATGGGTGGTTTTCAGGTATATAGTAAATGGTGCTATCTATCTGTTAACAAGGAGTGTTATCCTCAATTTAGTGGGCGGTCAATCAGAGAGAAAATATTACCAGGGGAGAGGTCAACAGTCCCCATTATCAGTCTAAAATGGTAGAAAAGGCCATGATCTTTTTTCAAACCAACAAGGCTTTTTTTAAGGTTGATAATCTGACCCTTTCTATAAAAGCTTATCTCTGGTTGACTTGTGAAATACAGATTGCTCTGTTTTGGTATTTTCCTATGTAAATATTTGCATATATATTTACTCAAACCAAGTAGGTAGACAGTGTTTCTAACTTTAGACTGGTAGTGAAGATTAAGTGATAGGATGGAGATATTTTGGACATATTAATCATAGTGATGTGTAAATAGAATCCAATAGCTTCTGCCATTAGTATATGGATTTTTTCTTTCTTTTCTGTATTTTATCTTTACGTATTACATATGACATTTACATGTTACTGGACTTAATGCAGAGGTCTACCTTCATAATGACCTCCACACAAAGATATCTACAGTTTCATAAGATTTTCCTCATCTAACTGGATAACCAGCTCATCAATTCAGAAATAATTATAAAAAAGAACATGTTACCTTAAATTTACAACTGATCAGCAGCAGCATCACTGACTACCTGTGCATGCTTGAACTATTAAAAATCAGAGAGATCTTGAAAATTGATAGCTTTTTCCTTTTAGAATTGCTGATGGAAGTTTTCAGAGCCTGCTTTTTGTCTGAAACTGCAAACCAATGCTTGTAGTAGTAATGGTTGGAAAATGTCTGTTTTTAGTTTAAAAATAATAATTTAGAGTGTCTGATGCAATAAGTTTGTTTATTATGGTGTGAAGGTGTTTTGACTTTGTATACATTACATATTTTTGTTTATAACTGGAGTATGGAATGGCCTTGTACATTTATCTATGCAGCACATGCAGAAAATAAACAAGCCTGGCATTGGAAGCCATATGTTTATCAATTTTCCTGATTCCTTAAGTTAAATTTCTATATCTTCTCCATCCTGTGTAGTGTCAGAATCTATGAATGAAATAAAAATAACAAATTTAATATATATGTTGATTGATATTTGACCAGTTAAGGTCACTTTTATTTATGTAAACTTAAATGAGATTTATTATGAATCAAAATTATTTATTTTTGTTACTTGAACTGTGATGGACATTCCCATATCTTCTACAGATAGTTTGAAAATATCTAGCAATTTAAACCCAAAGATAAAAAACATACAACAAACATGGTGACAGTTTTATGGTAAGGGAAAATATTTAATTGTACATCTACAAATAATATCATTGCTCATGACACAGTTAAGGAATCAGACAAATACTGAGGCTATATGTAGCATGCCAAGGAAGTTGCCACAACCTTTCTTGACACATCTTTCACTGGAAGAATGTCATATGTTGTACTGGGAGATTGTTTAAGATTACTGGTCAATGGCTTTCAACAAGATGGAAAAAATACATATAAATTTTTTCAAACATATAAAGGTAAAAATTAAAAAGCGGTAAAGATGGTACAGAGATCTTGAGTGTTTTTATACCATTGGGATGTGTTAGTGTTGCATACTGCAAATCACATAAATGGTGGAAATTTTAGGTGTAATTGTTGGTGTGCATGTCCAATATGTTTTTCTCAGTGTATGTCTGTATTTACTTAATGTATTTTCAGATGTGAAATGCTTGCAAATGTCTGGCCAGGGAGGCTAATTACTAAGGGGAATGGACACTAGCCAGAACCTGTTGAATATTCATATTCCGTTCAGACAGGGTCCAAGTTGAAACCGTTTTGGTTCTTAATTATGTGGGGACCCAAATAGAATTACAGGAAATTAAAGTCTTAAGGGTATTGGTGTTTCAATACAGGTCTTCATTATGCTTCAGTATGCTATTAAATCCATTATGATTTTGATTTTGTATATATGCTCTTATCTGTTTGTAAATCTGTATTTTTATGTCTTTATTCATCTTTTAATGTGGTTTATTTGTAAGGATTAATGATAATTATTACTGTTTGATTTGGTAAAATACTTTATAACCAAAATACTTTTAATGCTCAATAATTACCATATGCTACCATGAGCCTTATAGATTAAGGAGCACGAATGTCCAAATTGAGGACTCTAGCTATGAATTAAGTATCCCATTGTAAAATTAGTAGACATGAATACATCATCAGAGCAGTTTGTGTGTAGTAATGCCATGGTCATGGCTACTTAATTTTACATTTGTTAATTGGGAATTTGTGCTCACAAATCTGAGGCTCATGTTCACAATTGCCTTATCTGTTAATTAGGCCTGAGGTTGGACCTGTCTGAACTTGCATTTGATTGGTCTCCCCTAATAAGATCAATTTTGTCCTTATGATAAACCTACTCAAATTAATTAATTGTACAAAATATGCCAAAAGATAGCAGTTAATACCCTTATCATGAATAAAAATGATATAATTAAGAAAAAATGCCTATAAATGAAAGATGCCAAATTTTGAGACACTAAATAAACCTACACTAATTGCCCTGTGGGAGAATCAGTGTGAACTATATCTCAGACACTATAGGACAGTGCATGGCTTGTGGACATAAAAGTATTATCTTTCAAAATAATCATATAAAAAGAAAATCCATTTGTTGCAGCACCTGGATGACGAAGTTAGATTTTAGATTGCTCATTTGATAGCTCTTCATATGACAGATATATTACACTGTACAGCCAATTAAGCTCTAGGAGATTTATAATTGACCTATGCAGGTGCCTGGTTGCAGTATAATATCAAGACATTCATGTGGCACCAGAATTACTTGTTATCAAGTAGAGCCCCCTTTACACTGGACGGCGTCCCTTCTGCGTCCAGCAGTTCGGCCCCATTTGAGAGTTAAAGAATTATAATACTTTACGTGCCGACAACTGGTCGATCATTGAGCATTCATTCTGATACCAAATCAATGCTCGTGCCTCCGTATTAAGACCACAGCGATGCCAAATTTCATGGTCGCAGAAAGGACGCCGTCCAGTGTAAAGGGGGTATAAGCAAATTGCTATAAATCCTTACTGAGAAATGTATAAATTTATATATTTTTAGTGTTGTGAACATAAAAATCCGATTTCTTTAAACAGTCATGAGACTTTTCTGACCTATGTCTGAATTCCGACTTTTTCGGGGTCATTTGGGTCATTCTTGTGAATCGTGTACCCTTAACTCCCGGCCAATTTTCCTTCTTTATCAGTGAGGACTGGTCTCATCCCTCTTTAAAGAGTTGAAAAGGGTTAAGATAAGGGTTACTGTTATTGTCATCTTTTCAAAAAGTGATAACTACTTGAACTAATTAACAATGTGGTATGCGTAAGACGACATATCTCAGGATAGACCCTGGGCACTCTTAACCAAAATATGTTGTTGTGGAAGTCATTATCAAAAATCTGCTTTGTTCCACTTTCAGTGACAAGTGCTATATTTGGCACTTAATTGGTAGATTTTGAGACAGATTTAGATGTGAATTGGGGGTTTTTATTACATACATCTCCTTATTGAGCAAATGTGGTTATTAACATTACTGTTGAATTGTACTGATTATATTGAGTGAATTTTAGAAGCTCTCTTCATTCTTGGAGATATGGAAATACATATATGAATGAAAAAATGTACTTCAGTAACAAAAAATATACAGTATATAAAACTGGTCTAAATAGATTTTTATTTGTCACAGAGCCAAAAAAAAAAAGCACTAATAAATCATGCCAAATATTGGTGTTACATGTGCTGTAGCACATACTAGTGTGATATTCAATATTTAATATTTTTAAATTTGGTTTCAGGTTCCTTAGAAATACAGCCATACAGAACTTGAATCAGTCTGACTTCAAGTCATTTAGAAAACTAACAACACTGTAAGTATTATTGGACACGCCCTGAGTAGAAAATCCAGTCGTTTCTTGAAATGAAAAACTTCTGGTGTAATTGGCCTCTGTTAGAAAGTGAAAAAGGCTGCTAAGGGTGAAGGGGGGGGGATAGAGTAGGGGAACACAGGTTATTATTATTGTTATTTAATTTTTTCATTATGTTTTGCCATGCTTTCCTCTATTAAAAATGTTTTTTGTATAAAAAGGAATGTCTTAATAAATGCCTTGAAAATTAGAATTTGGTCTGAGAGTTTAGTTTTAAGGAAGAAAAAGTCAGGTAAGCACATGGAACTTACTCAACCAAAAACTTTAACACTAAAAGGCTGAGCTGAGGATAATGACCAACTTAGATCTGTTGTGAACCATAAAAACCATTGCTACACAATTTAGTGACCAGTCGCTCTCAGACTTTAGTAACAGAAGTTATATGATACAGAAATGACTATACAGCTACTAATGCCAAGTGTTGTTTAGATCTAATAACACTTAAGAAATTTGGGTTAACTCTGTCATAATTATTAATCAGTTTTATGCTCATTTTTTGTGCACCTTCATCTCACCAGTTGTGTGATCTCTGGCCATCATGGCTCAGATGTAGGTCTATTGTTTTTTTTTTTTTTTGATATTATTTGTGCTTTGCCTAAAACATTTTTATGTAAAAAAGCATTATTGGGAGGAGTGACAGGGCAGCAGGTTTCCCCTCCCTCTTCTTCAAGGTCCATCAGTGTTGTAGTGTGAGGTAAAACTCTCTGCTCAGTTAATCACTACCTTTATATTTCTGTGATATCAAAGTGCTCTGAGGTGTGCACCTCAAGTGTGTTTATTTTCCTATTTCCAGGTGTTAGTACTTCCTGATCTAAACAGAATTTTCCATATTTAGAATGTACGGAAGACACCAAATGGAAATGGTTTAAAAATAGGATTGTCAGAATTCCTTATAAACATGGTTTACTCATATGTTTATGTCTTGGGCTTTTCCAGGAGTATTAACCACGACTATGCCCTGTTGGGGATCGACCCGCACACGTTTACGCAGAACCCAGAATTACGATTCATGTGAGATAATATATTGAAGTTCATAGAATTTCTTTGTTAAACTTATTTGTCATTTGTCAAAAAGTGAAGGAATTAAACATTATGAAAGTGATTCTATTAACTTTAACATTAATCTTTATTTTATTTCCTGATGATCTTTATATTTTTAATGCTTTGAAATTTATATTGTAGGCATAACATTCGATGTACCATTTCTTGCTGTTTTGAACTTATTAACTTAACCATGGGCAAAATAAAAAAAAAATCCAAACAAAAATGTAATGTTTCACTAACGTTTTAATTGTGTGAATTATTCATTTTCCTTTAATTTTTTCAGTGAAATTAGAGACTGCACCAACCTAAAAACAATAGATGACTCGGCCTTTGTGGGAATAAGAAAGTTAAGACACATGCAAGTATCAAATATACCTTTTTTTCATGTAGTTTGATTTTTGGCTGAAAATAGGGTAATTGCTTGTAATTTATTTGTCAGTAAGTTAATGATGAAACCATTCACGTGCACCTGCTAAATGTACAGGGAATGGTCACAAGTTGAGCTCTGTGGAATTTTTTATATATGGATATCCCTTTGTGGTTAAATGCACATGACAAGTTGAGAATGAAGTGTGTGTGTGTGTGTGTGTGTGTGTGTGTGTGTGTGTGTTCCTAAATTTGCATGTGCTTTATTGTGTTTGTATGTGTTTAGGTTCAGGTTCCGTTATAAAGATTGGTGTACCCAATGCACCAAGTAACACACCATTCATCAATGCCTATGATTTGTTGATATTCAGTTAACTGAAATATTTTTGTTATTTATGATCAGTGTAAGTCAAATGAGTGCTGCCAAAATTAAACCATTCTCATTTAGCCACCAAAACATGCCATAATATTCTAGAGATGGAAATTAGCCCTCATTGCTGTAATTAAAAGGGGAAAAAGAACAAAGATTCCAGAAATGGAAGTTAACCCCACAAACTGGAGAAGAAACAAGGATTATCATTTTGTACTAAGTTTATTTAGGATTATCACTTTGTAATAAGTTAATTTAGGTGTATTTGATGCCTATTACCACTTTTTATGTAATAGTTTGTTAAAAAAGATCACTGTACTAGTAGGCCCAATGGGGGCTGTTAAGATTAATTAAGCCATTTCATTTGGCCACCAAAACATGCCATCATATTCTAGAAATAAAAATTAACCTTTAGTGCCCCTACGATATAAACAGGAGCAATTGGAGTGATGTGGTGATAGGTTATTAAGTTATATTTGATATCTCATACGTGTAGCACATTTGTATGTAAATGTTTTGTTTTCAAGGAAAATCTTTTACACCTTTTCTTTTCACTTTTTCAGGGAAATTGTCAGTTGTGGCTTAATGGCAGTGCCCAGAGTTCACAGAACCTCAGATCCTTTGGATGAATTGTGAGTGGACATTATGAAGCGCCTTTTAGAAACAAAGACATCCTCTCTCTCTCTCTCTCTCTCTCTCTCTCTCTCTCTCTCTCTCTCTCTCTCTCTCTCTCCTTTAATTTGAAAACAGCAAAGCACTGTCACCATGGAGAAGTTTATATGGATATTACATAAGGATACATGTTCTCAGTATATAGGTTTAGGTACACACGCATGCACGCACGCACGCACGCACGCACGCATGCGCACACACATGTGATCCAAATATTACACATTGTGGAGTTTATATTATATGGATGCTACAGATGGTTTAAGCAGTGCATGATGGTGTTTCACATTCCCTGTACACTATTAAAAACTCCCTTGGCGCCCTCTGATGGATGAAGACCCAACTTAAGCCATCTGGTCATCCCCTACTTTTGTACCAAAGATGACTAAGACAAGTGTGTTAGATGTAACACTTGGTCAACTTCTGGTTAAAGACAGAAAATTACTTTCTAGTTTGTGAAAAAAGTTCTGAATTTTGGGATAGAATTCCATTTCATTGGCATATATTTCATTCCATCATTTAATCAAGATGCAACCTGTAATTAAATCCCCAAAACTATAAAAGATTCACCTTTGGATAAGAGTGAACCATTGAGTAAGAATAATCAAGTCAGGACTGAAAAAAAAAATGCTGCACTTTTTCCAAAATGTATCACAAAAATCATTTGATTATTATTTTTTCAAGCAATTTGTGCCTCGGAATTACTGAGAAAATTTGGAAAGTATCAGGGAAGATTTGTTTCTTTGCTAACTAAGTGTCTACATTAATTGCCAAGATCCCCCTGTCACTAAGGATTCAACTAAGTACACACAATATTTATGATCATATGCCTCTTGTTATGTGTGGTGATTGACGGCAATACTACACAACATACATCACACAACATGCAATGGTTCTTAACATTGCAATACCTTTGGACATCTGTTTCAGTGACTTTGTTGGATTTCTTATTTATTTGGATTGTAAATGCCTACAATGATGTGTTACCTCAAATTATAACCCTGATAATATTTTCAGCTTTGACTCTTTAGTGTTTGTGTTTGTTTCTTGTGAAAAACATTTGTATCAGTTAATGTTTATCTCTACAAATGTCACTTTTTTGGCCACGCAATAACATTTCCCCAGGTGTGTCAGGAGAGGATTGTTATCAGTTTCCTCATCATTCGGGAGTGTCCTATCAGAAGTTTAATCTAATTGTATCGGAAGGTTTCCTGTTCCCTGGACTTGCATTTACACCTTTGCCATTCTTATTTTTGCTCATTTTTTCCGCAGGGACTTTTCCCAGAACCCGTTTGAAGTGATCAGTAATCGCAGCTTTGATACAGTCGTAACAGCCAATTTGTAAGTATGAAGGCAATAACATTTCTAGTTCACTCTCTCCAGTCTCTGTTTAATATTATCTACAGGGACTTGGGAAGGCAAGGGTTTATTTCATTCATTTTTCATGGTGTTCAACTTTTAGACGGAAACAATTTTTATCTCAGAGGATTTATGATGTTAGTTTTTTCCCTCCTTAATTGGCTTTAAGAATTTTGTGACTATATAGACAAATAATTATAGTTATACCTGTAATTTAACCTGAATAATTCATCATTAAATGCAATAACAGTTACCATATATTTCGGTTCTAAATTCCATCAATCATTGTGTACGTTAAAATGTGTTCAAGACAAAAAAAAATAAAATAAATAAAATAATCACATTCAGTTTGGCATCATATAGATATTGCCTACTTGATATTCAATACACACTGTACACATCCTACGGAGGACAGCCCACGTATGAATGTTGCTTTTTATTCATAGTCCATGCAACAAGCAAGCATCCTTTGGCTTATTTGTAATTGCTATTGGGGTGTTAAATTATTAAAAAAAAAAAAAAACAGGTGGATATGTGATCTGCTTATGTATTGCTTTAGCATGGATGTGTGAATCAGAACAGAATGGGAACAAGTCTTGACTGCCTTGTGTGTATTCATATATTTTCTCACTACTTATATTTTGATTTCCAATTTGATTTTGAATGCGAAGGTTCCAGACCAACGGGTTGAATCCAATTAAACATAATTGCATATATGCAGAATATCATTGTATGCATGATTGCAATTAAGCTGGTGGATGATCAACATGTCATCCAAGCAATAAACTACTTGTCTCATTGATTGTAATCAAGCTTGCTGAATTGTTTCCTCATTTTTCTCTTCAGTGTTTCGATAAATTTAGGATTGTTGTAAATATTACAGCCACTGCAACTATGTTCTTTGTATACTGAGCATGGAACAGCTGTAACCTTTTGTCTGACCCATTCAGTTAGCATATATGCATGAGATAATAGATTCTAATTTGATATTGTTTGCCTCGAATACTCCTGTAAAAGATAAAGTCAATCATTTATGACAGACTGCTTTTACAGTTCACAAGAGAATGTGTTTTTTCACCTAAAGGTCAGGCATATACACAGCAGTGCAGTGCTTCGTGAAATTTATTCTACAGTAATCCATGGTTTGCATTTTCTTGTTTGATTCAAATTATGCATTTACAGCCAAAACACAAAGAGATTTTGGCCATGCAACGGGAGTTTTTTATATAACTTGATAGCCTCATTCTTGGCAGGGCCCACAAAGTTCCAAGATGGAACATGAGTTTGTGAAGACATGCATGAACGTGAGTGGGAAGCTGCCAGACTAGGAGCAAAAAAATCCAATCTGACATATACTAACAGTGTACAAAGGGTTGCAATCAATGTACAAATATAATAGCTTTTTCCACTCAGGTTGCCCGGAGCCATTATTCCATTAAATCACCCATTTTGCCGCACTTTACACATTTCACTCCAGTCTCTTAAGTGGGTACTGTTATATTTACAGATAGGCCACAGCCCACTTGAATACTATCGCAGCTGCTCTCCACTGAAGTAGCTGAAGTATAATATGCGTTAATTACCACCATTGTTTTACACACTTTTCCTTTCTTTGCTGGCCAAGGGTTTAATATCTCAAAGTGAATTCAGACAGAGACTATTTTGTAGTGTTATTCAAGCCAGCTGGTGTCATCAGGTTACTTGGTTGATTAATGAGTGATATTATTGTCTGAGGTAAAGTGGGGTCTCGTTTATTAATTGAGTGCTTAGGACTGCTGATCTTATGTGGTTTTGAAATTGTTTTGATCTCAATGCAGCTGAAAAATGTCTGTTTCAGTTTTTTTTCTTGCTATCAGCATTTAAATGTTGAAAAAAAATGACAATGAATCAGGGTCCATACCAAAGTTGAGATTTCATAATTTTTTATGTTTTAGACGACTTATAAACACAGGACTACACCGCATTGAAGACTTTGCATTCACTGGAGCTATAATTCAGAAAATGTAAGTTAATTAATTGTTACATTATTGAAACATTGGATACATTATTGAAAACAGTTTTTAAAGATTCATTGGGTAAACAGAGTACATTGTAATTCTTGTGTCATTCATGCATAAAACCTTAAGGCTTCTCCCTCAAAAAGAAGTCATTGGTAATTGTTATGCACACTACAGGTCTTTTGTTTAAAGTAAAATTATTATTATTGAGTAAAGGTACTAACTTCATAATATAAAAAAGCTGATTGATAGAAATGGATTAAACAAGTCTGATTAACTTTACATCCATTGAATTTTTACCCATAGTTTCTGTTTCTTATGAGACTTGAAATCCATTTTTTTCAGCCCTTGAGATGAAGTTGATAAGATAAGAAAAAGTATGTTAATATTTTGATGATGTCAATTTTCAGTGTATTGAAGAATAATGCCAAATTAACTGACATCAGGCCAAATGCATTCAAAGGGATAGAAGGACTCAAGTATATGTAAGTAAAGACTATGCCATGTCCACAAAGCAGAGCTTACGGCTAATCCAGGTCTAGGTGCAGCTGAAAAAAGGAAAAATAGCAGTGGGTTCGCTGAAAAGCAGGAAACGCAAAATTTGAACTATCATAATTGTGCTAATATTCACACCTATGCTCATCCTTATTCAGGAAGGAAAATGAGTTATACTTTCAAAGAAAACCAGGAGACAAGGAGACCAAAAAATTCACACTTATGAATTTGCACATGAATTTTGGTAATTTTTGCACCCCATTGAAAAATCTACATGGGTATCATATATCCTTAGGGAAGTGAAAGTGATAATATATATATGGCATGACAGGAACTGCAGCTGAAAATAGGAAAAATGGCAGGCGGTTCTGCTGAAAAGCAGGAAACAATATAATTCACCCTCAAAATTTGAACCCTCATAATTGTGCTAAAATTCACACCTATGGCTCATCCTTATTCAGGAAGGAAAATGAGCTATGCCCTCAAAGAAAACCAGGAGACAAGGAGACAAAAAATTCACACTTACAAATTTTCACCTGAATTTTGGTAATTTTTGCACCCCAATGAAAAATCTACATGGGCATTACATATCCTTAGGGAAGTGAAAGTGATAATATATATATATGGCATGACAGGAACTGCCACACAGTGTGTCAACACTTACCTTATCCGTGTGTGAGTAGTCAGGCAACATCGTCTCTGGAGAACTCTGGCAACATGTTCCGAAAAAAAATCTTAAATCTAGATTCCATCAGAACAATCACAATTTGTTACTGCCCCAAGAATAAAGTCTTGCACGCATAAATATATAGGAGAAATACATTAAGTTTCTCAATGTATTTAGCCACAGGTTAGATGCAAGCCACTAACTGGTGAGATTGCCTAGCTGGCAAAATTTTTCTGTGGTGCAGGAGTACTCTGGTCATACTGGTGCAAAATGTACAAGTCTTTAAATGTTTAGTACTAGTCTTTAAGCACAAGGAAAACATACACACTGACTATAAAGGTTTCTTTTTATAATAACTAAGCATATTTTATTTTAGAACTTTTAAAAGAAGTAGAATAATTCTGTTTTTTTCTGTATTTGAATATTTTAAAAAATTTAACCGATATATTTCTCTTTCAAATCAGTGACCTATCAAGCACACATATAACCAGCCTACCATTTGAAGGCCTTCAAGAGTTGAGGGAGCTGCTTCTACAAGATACCCGCACTTTGCGCAAATTCCCTCCAACATTTAACTTTCACAAGATGGAGAAAGCCCATCTCACTTACGCTCACCATTGTTGTGCTTTTCAAAAACCAGATCTTCAACACCCGAAATTGTTTGAAGAATTTCAAAAAGAACAACAGAAAATTAGGGAAGAATGCCCTGGATCTGGTACAACTTTGCAGACAACAAAGGCATCAATGGAAGCAGATTACAGGTACAAGCGCCATGCCCAGGAATGGGATTCATTCCAGGCTTTTATAGAAACATTTCCTGGTAACAAGTTCCTTCACCATTTATTCAGGCGAGGTTTTGGGGAATTCAGAACAAGCACAGATCCACCACATGGAAGGACAACTTCAAACCCTTGGGGAGCTCATAAAGAAAACCCAGACACTCCTGAGAATAATCTTGTGACCCCATCACAGCCTATCTTTCTCCCAGGAGTCACCATTCCCAGGAACCACACCATTTTGGTAAAGTGTGGAGATGGGGTTCTGAACCGTGGGCGTCCTTATCATGACATCGAGTGTACTCCTCAGCCAGATGCTTTCAATCCCTGTGAAGATGTAATGGGCTACACATGGCTGCGGGTCATGGTGTGGTTTGTTCTGCTAGCTGCATTACTAGGCAACCTCCTTGTTATTATTGTCCTCCTTCACAGCTGGCAAAAGATGTCTGTCTCCAAGTTTCTCATGTGTAACCTAGCCTTCGCTGACCTTATGATGGGACTCTATCTGCTCCTGCTGGCTTCTTTTGATGCCCACACTCTGGGGAAGTACTTTAATTTTGCCATAGAGTGGCAATATGAAGGTGGATGCCAGGCAGCAGGATTCATCACAGTATTCGCCAGTGAGCTTTCCGTCTACACGCTCTCGGTGATAACTTTGGAGAGGTGGTATGCCATTAGCCATGCCATACATCTCACCAAACGTCTTCGCCTAAAACAAGCAGCATTGATCATGTTCCTGGGATGGATTTTCGCTATAATCATGGCCATGCTCCCAGTAATTGGAGTCAGTGACTATGGAACCACCAGTATATGCCTTCCATTTGGAGTGGAGGCACCTGAAGATCTTGGGTACTTGGTATTTGCTGTGGGCTTCAATGGTTTGGCCTTCATCATAATTTGTGTTTGCTACATAAGTATGTATTGTAAAGTGAGTGGCAGTGACTCCACAGCAAGAAGCAGTGATGCGACCATAGCCAAAAAGATGGCAATTTTGGTGTTCACAGATTTTGCTTGTTGGGCTCCCATTGCCTTCTTTGCATTTACAGCAGTTGGGGGAACACCTCTCATAGACATTACCAACTCCAAAATATTACTTGTGTTCTTTTATCCACTGAATTCTTGTGCAAATCCATTTTTGTATGCCATATTTACCAAGCAGTTTCGAAAAGACTTTCTTATCACCTTGAGCTATTATGGCCTCTGTACAAAAAGAGCATCTCGCATGAAGGCATCCTATAACAGTAATCATATGTCAATGTCGCAGACAAGGAACAGCTTGGGTGCTATCCATAATGTACATCATCATCCCTCTGATGGTTCAATTCTCACACAGTTCACTACAGATGGCACTGGAGGTCCTCGTAGCTCCATTAAGAATTCTCCAACAAGCACTCCAAAAAGCACACCCCAAAATACCCCTAAGGCATCCCCAAAAGGAATCAAGAAAGCTATGAATGGGATTTTGAAAACTAGAGGCTCTGGGAGCTCTAATCATAGCTCTAGTTCAGGTTGCAGTGTTGATAGTAAGCTGGACCCTCAACGAAAACTGAGCATTGTGCCAGAAAGCAGTCATTCTGAAGCAGACAATGATCAAGAAGAGTTGGTTCCCAAGTCTGAGCTGGGGAATGGAGATGTTTCCAAAGAAAATATGGACAAGGAAGATCTGAAGGAGAGCAAAACAGCTGATGAAAAGAGAAGTTCTTTCAGAAAATTAGGCAAAGTCAGCAAAAAGCGCAAGTGCGGTGGGACACCGATTGAAAATGACAGTCAAGGGTCAGACAATACAGCATTCCATATGAGTACTAGTGAAGATTTTATTGCAGAAAGTGACTCAGAACTCTTAGAGCAAGATGATTTGAATCACAATCACTCGCAATCATTTCATAGAAAGGGTCCAGGCAGGGAGAGTGGTATAAGCTCTGTTTCTGGAAGTCCAAATGTAGACTGTGAGCAACTGTGTTCAGAAGAGGTCATCCTTCGTAGAAAGAGCACAGACAGAGAGAGTGGCTTTCATTCACAACAAAACACTCCCGTTTCTTCATTATCAAAAAAACAATTTTTTGATCTCTTAATGAAAAGTCCAGAAGTTATTACACAAGACACTAAAGTATAGTGGATTCAGATTTTTAGGCACAGTTTCATTACATGTGTTTGTAAAGCTTTGGTTAGGTTGCCACCAAAGAGAGATGGCTTCGGAGAGCAAGGTTGACTGTTGTGCAGGTTTCTTTATATAAAATTTACTAAATACTGATGACAGGTGCTTACAGGTTAATACAATGTATGTCATTGTAAGTGAATTGAATGAACATTCACTCTCTGATTGCAAAGAATTATTGAAATGACTTATATAACTGCATGGCAGTTGCAGGAGGCATGTGTTCAATAAGAAATTTTGCTTTTGAAGAAAGGGCACCTTCATTATTTAAGGCATAGGGGTGATATATTTTGCATTGAAGCATTATTTGTGATTGATAATCATAAGTTTTATTTATTATACCCGACTTTTCTTTTTCACTCTGGATTCCATGTTCAAAATATTAATATATGAGTTAACGGCTGAAGGCTCATGAATGTGTGATGACAGTGTCATGTTTGTTCCCAAGAAACTTCAGAAATTGATCTGAAAAATGGGTGTTGGTTAAAATTTTGGGCAAATGAAAATTTAGAGGATAATTTTGGGTTTTAAAGAAATTCAGTCAAAATTCATTTCAGTGAAGTATTTAACACCAATAAGTCACATCATATTTTTCAAGTTCAAAGTTTATAAGCTGTCATTTCCAGATTTGAAGTTGCAGATCACTTGTAAATAAAAAATAGATATTAATATGGTATTGTAGTAGATTTGGATTAAATGAAGTGTCAGCGAAAAATGCATAAGATTCAAGGTCAGACACAGGGAAGGGTACAGCAGGCATATACCCACCCCAGAATTAGTGAAATACCCCCCCCCCAAAAAAAAAAAAAAAAAAAAAATTTAAAATAAAATAATAAAAAGTAAAACTGGACAATCAAGCTTTTTTTAAATTCCTGGATTCAACATTACGGTAAAATTGACCTCGTTGGATTCCCAGTGAAGATTTATATCCAAGAAGGTTCACTATACGTTTTTTTCTACACAGCTAGTTTTCTGTAAGCAAATATTTTTGCCTGTATGTTAACAAGAAATTGTGTCATTATCATTAATTTAATTATAATACAATGTAAATGTAGCTGGTCTATATTTCATAAGTTTTATTTAGAATTATATACTTGCATAATTTAGAAAATTCTTCATTTTTAATAATTGCTTTTGAATAAAAAGAAAGTGAAAGTTAAGTATTTGGCACATTTCTGTAGGAAAACTTATAAGGGGTCTGCTGGATATGGCATTGTTTTAGTTTGTAACCCTGTTTCTTATATTAAGATTTGGGTCAAAAATTTGAGACCAATTCTACAGTTTCTGTTGATTTAGTGTTTGCATTTGATTTTAGAGTAATGTTTTAGTGTTGAAAATAAGGCACATATATCAGCTGTTTATTGAACTAATTGATTTTTTATTGGTGTTTAATAACTTAGGTAAATGGTGCCTACATATATTTTGCCAGAAGATAAATGTATGTACATACAACTTTGTTAATCATTTATCACATTATCACATTTAGATTAAATGTATTAAATTATTCTACATAAAACTTGCGTGAATGAAAAAAAGGTGCACATTTAAATACATGTACCTATCTTTATTTCCTGTTGCTTTTGTTCTGTGCTGTATCACTTGTATACGATGTATGGTTAAAAGTAAATAAAATATACTTGCTTCATTTACGTTTTCATTCATAAGATTTCTGGGCATTTTAAACTAACAGATGGTTATTTGGGTCATTGTATCAGTGGGGAAGGAGAAATTCTATCGCAAATTGTAAAAATCTAACTTGCTCAACAACGTTTTAATTGGTACATATTATTCTCACCTTTGCTGCAGAGCGGCGCAGCTGACTAAAAGCATTTGCTATTGTCTCAACTCACCTATTAATCCGATTATCAGAGACTGGGAAGTGACTAGGCTAGGATCGGCTGCTACAGTTGAGACACACCACTACAGCACCTCATTGTATTCTGACTCTAACATGGCAGTTTGTAGATAGATGAAAGGCAATGGCTCAGAAAAACGGGAAATTAGAAATTGAACTACCAATCCAGTGGCGGATTTAGGGGGGGGGGGGGGGGGCTGACTGCCCTTCGATTTCTGAATAAAAATCACACGAATGGTCCCCTCTTGATATTAGAATTTTGACTAGCTGAATCATAGTGCACTGTACCAAATGGCACCGTTCTAAAATACCAAAAATTTTCAGAGCCCTTCAGCGGGCCCCGAACCACACGCCAAGGGGGTCGGCTTTGCAAATGAGTCCTAAAAGGGCCTTGTTTTTATTCATCTGAATCCTTATAAAGTTTTTCAAAATAAACATTCCTTTTTGTCTCATTTTTAAGTATTATTATTATTATTATTATTATTATTATTTCGAAATAAAATATGATCAGTATGTTTATAATTATGTCTTTACTTACATTAAGTACTACATTTTTATCTAAGCCAATATAAAAAGATTTACTGGTATCCACGGGGGTGAGGGGGGGAAATGAAAACTGAACCGTGCATCAACATTTCCTTTTCGCCACTGGACTTTGCTTACGACAGATATATTATTGTTTTGATTTATAAGTCAGTTAGCCTACTTATTCCAAGAAATGGATTAAATGTACCATTGATCAATTTAGCAGTTTTTCAATTTTTTTTTGTTTGTTTATAAGATACCAATAATCATTAGCAGACCTATGAACCCTGGCAGGTAAATTATTCATTATATACAGCTCCCACTGAGATATCATTTGCATCAAGCTTTTAAATAACACAGCCTTTTGTGCACGCACCCCCCCCCTTCCCGGTCCCAACGCCTCAGTCAATTAATTTGACCTGTCCGTGACTGGCCCGCTGTGCCCACCAGGTGTGCTCTTCACAAGGTGTAATATATTATTGTTCTACTCTCTACTTCGTAACTCCTATAACCTCATCCATAAAGACACACTTAACGTCAACGTCACATACAGGTGCAGGCCTTCAAAAAGTTAAACACCCCCTTAAATCTTTGTGCAGTGATGTAACAGATAAAACCTCTGTCACAATCATTTTTATGTGGTCGAGGAACTACACGTAATAGGCCATCATTATTAATATCAAGCTCTCTATGATCCAACGAGTCTACACGAATACCGCGTGTAGCGGAACTATATATAAGCCAGAGCTTGCTCCAGGGGCGCCAGATGGCTGATCTGCCTAAATTTGGTTAACATACCTGCAGGAAATGGGTTTAGGTTACAACTAGGAAATCTGAGCGACTGGGAGAATCCATAGCGCAGCTGCGGTGTGAGCCGTAACTTCGGCTTAGTGAAAAAATAGGGGTGCTTGAAGTAAAGCTTGAAGTAGAGCACAGGTAATCTGGATCAGAATATCAAAGCTGCGAAAACATCTTTCTTTGCTTCTTCGACTGCTGACTGAATTATCTTAAGTAGTTATTTCTCTTGTTTTCATATACAAATAAAAAGATAGGTCACCTCTTTTTGGTTCTTTTTTTTTTTTTTTTGGCCCCGGTATTTTACCCATCACATATCTTAATTGAACGCCCGCTATAAAAATATTGATGCTCCAGCCTCTTTTTTCATAAGGAACAATGATGAAATTGACTGGTAGTTAAAGCAGGTCATCTTTCTTACTTCAGTAGTGTTGTGATTGGAAATGAGTTTCCCGTAAGTTGACCGGTCATCATCAAAATTTAGACTTGTCTAGTGTTGAAATGGTGCAGCTGGTGATCGACCTGTGTTCTATAGCTAAGAAATACGCGTGCCAGTTCATTTGCATAGTAATTTAAACGTTAAAGAACGCGCTTTGAAATTCAGGGTGCATATACCATTTGGCAGAAATAACATGAAGAAAAAACCAGTTATGCCAGGGTTGTGTTTACAATGAAGATGAGTGTATTTTCTTTAGGCCAAGTCTGACGGTGAACTCAAGGTCTTACTATATATTTAGACCCGAAAATAAGAACAGCATATTTTTTCACTTTATAATGGCATTGTCTGATGATGCAGTCATGTCCTGAAGTTAGGCACGAAATAAATGAAGGTATTTTAAAAACTCGCTTCCATAATTTCGTTACCCATAAGTCTTTGGATTTTTAAAGTAGATGCGATAACAAGCCTAAGTATTTCAAAGTCAATCAGTACCATTTCTTGATTGAAAATCTTCCACACTTATGGAGTATTCCATTCTTGACAAATGGGAGTAGTTAATACTTTTTATACTCTAAGTACACAGGTGTAGGCCTATTGGAAAAATGGGTGCAATGCTTTTGGATGCGATGAACCCAGTAACACTACATACGCATATAGATTTGAGTTTTTGGAGGAAAGCTTATACCAGCTTATAATTGGCCTTTCACAGAACAACACGTATAATGTTTAGCGCATTGAACTTGACACTGCCTACTGCCTTTAAAGAATTTCACAATAGGATAATTTATCAGGCAACATAAGACGAGTCGCGTAAGAAAATCATATCTTACAATAATAAACACCACGNGGGGGGGCCCGGGGCGGCCCCAGGGGGGGGGGGGGGGGGGGGGGGGGTTTTTCCCCCCGGGCCCCCCCCCCCCCCCCCCCCAAAATAATCCTGGACCCGCCCCTGCACTTGAAATGAGAAAATTATTTTAGTGAGTTACACAGTGTGAGCTAAAATCGGCTTTGCAAACCGCTGTGAAAATTTGGCTCGAAGGAAAACTACATCTTTATTGGGGAAGGATTGCTGCTGATTGTGTGTGCTCAACTATCGCACTGAATTTTTGAAAATTGGGAATGTCATTATTTAATTTCATTATTTCTTCGGGTTTGTAAATTTAATTGTTATCACTTTGATAAAATTTAGTTGCGATTTTATGAAAAATCAAATTAGTTTCACTTTTTATTCAAATGAGTCCTAAAAGGGCCTTGTTTTTATTCATCTGAATCCTTATAAAGTTTTTCAAAATAAACAATACTTTTTGTCTCATTTTTAAGTATTATTATTATTATTATTATTATTATTATTATTATTATTATTATTATTATTATTTCGAAATAAAATATGATCAGTATGTTTATAATTATATGTCTTTACTTACATTAAGTACTACATTTTTATCTAAGCCAATATAAAAAGATATAGGCCTACTGGTATCCACGGGGGTGAGGGGGGAGATGAAAACTGAACCATGCATCAATATTTCCTTTTCGCCACTGGACTTTGCTTATGACAGATATATAATTGTTTTGATTTATAAGTCAGTTAGCCTACTTATTCCAAGAAATGGATTAAATGTACCATTGATCAATTTAGCAGTTTTTCAATATTTTTGTTTGTTTATAAGATACCAATAATCATTAGCAGACCTATGAACCCTGGCAGGCAAATAATACAGCTCCCACTGAGATATCATTTGCATCAAGCTTTTAAAAAACACAGCCTTTTGTGCACGCACCCCCCCCCTTCCCGGTCCCAACGCCTCAGTCAATTAATTTGACCTGTCCGTGACTGGCCCGCTGTGCCCACCAGGTGTGCTCTTCACAAGGTGTAATATATTATTGTTCTACTCTCTACTTCGTAACTCCTATAACCTCATCCATAAAGACACACTTAACGTCAACGTCACATACAGGTGCAGGCCTTCAAAAAGTTAAACACCCCCTTAAATCTTTGTGCAGTGATGTAACAGATAAAACCTCTGTCACAATCATTTTTATGTGGTCGAGGAACTACACGTAATAGGCCATCATTATTAATATCAAGCTCTCTATGATCCAACGAGTCTNCCCCCCCCCCCCCCCCCCCCCCCCCCCGGTCCCAACGCCTCAGTCAATTAATTTCACCTGTCCGTGACTGGCCCGCTGTGCCCACCAGGTGTGCTCTTCACAAGGTGTAATATATTGTTGTTCTACCCTCTACTTCGTAACTCCTATAACCTCATCCATAAAGACACACTTAACGTCAACGTCACAACCAGGTGCAGGCCTTCAAAAAGTTAAACACCACCTTAAATCTTTGAGCAGTGATGTAACAGATAAAACCTCTGTCACAATCATTTTATGTGGTCGAGGAACTACACGTAATAGGCCATCATTATTAATATCAAGCTCTCTATGATCCAACGAGTCTACACGAATACCGCGTGTAGCGGAACTATATATAAGCCAGAGCTTGCTCCAGGGGCGCCAGATGGCTGATCTGCCTAAATTTGGTTAACATACCTGCAGGAAATGGGTTTAGGTTACAACTAGGAAATCTGAGCGACTGGGAGAATCCATAGCGCAGCTGCGGTGTGAGCCGTAACTTCGGCTTAGTGAAAAAATAAGGGTGCTTGAAGTAAAGCTTGAAGTAGAGTACAGGTAATCTGGATCAGAATATCATAGCTGCGAAAACATCTTTCATTGCTTCTTCGACTGCTGACTGAATTATCTTAAGTAGTTATTTCTCTTGTTTTCATATACAAATAAAAAGATAGGTCACCTCCTTTTTTTTCTTTTTTTCGCCCCGGTATTTTACCCATCACATATATTAATTGAACGCCCGCTATAAAAATATTGATGCTCCAGCCTCTTTTTCATAAGGAACAATGATGAAATTGACTAGTAGTTAAAGCAGGTCATCTTTCTTACTTCAGTAGTGTTGTGATTGGAAATGAGTTTCCCGTAAGTTGACCGGTCATCATCAAAATTTAGACTAGTCTAGTGTTGAAATGCTGCAGCTGGTGAACGACCTGTGTTCTATAGCTTAGAAATACGCGTGCCAGTTCATTTGCATAGTTATTTAAACGTTAAAGAACGCGCTTTGAAATTCAGGGTGCATATACCATTTGGCAGAAATAACATGAAGAAAAAACCAGTTATGCCAAGCCTGTGTTTACAATAAAGATGAGTGTATTTTCTTTAGGCCAAGTCTGACGGTGAACTCAAGGTCTTACTATATATTTAGACCCGAAAATAAGAACAGCATATTTTTCCACTTTATAATGGCATTGTCTGATGATGCAGTCATGTCCTGAAGTTAGGCACGAAATAAATGAAGGTTTTTTAAAACTCGCTTCCATAATTTCGTTACCCATAAGTCTTTGGATTTTTAAAGTAGATGCGATAACAAGCCTAAGTATTTCAAAGTCAATCAGTACCATTTCTTGATTGAAAATCTTCCACACTTATGGAGTATTCCATTCTTGACAAATGGGAGTAGTTAATACTTTTTATACTCTAAGAACACAGGTGTAGGCCTACTGGAAAAATGGGTGCAATGCTTTTGGATGCGATGAACCCAGTAACACTACATACGCATATAGATTTGAGTTTTTGAAGGAAAGCTTATACCAGCTTATAATTGGCCTTTCACAGAACTACACGTATAATGTTTAGCGCATTGAACTTGACACTGCCTACTGCCTTTAAAGAATTTCACAATAAGATAATTTATCAGGCAACATAAGACGAGTCGCGTAAGAAAATCATATCTTACAATAATAAACACCACGGGTAATACGCTTATCATAATTTTAATTGCAAAAAAGTTTATTAAATGTTTTTGAAAGCGCACACAGGGACCACGCTCAGAGTAACCCTTTAAATACCATATCTTTTTTCTCCTGTTTTTCAATAATTCTGACATTTTATATATTTGTATTTTTCTAATCACACTGCATTTTCTCCGGGTCAATTTCAAGAGACTTGTCGTTCACAATGTATTTGTTCTAGGTGGATAATACTTAATCTCACTTGGCTTATAAGGTTAAATACACCAGTGTTGGATAGAAATAAAGTAAAATGATATGCTGCTATTACGGAGCGAGATATTTTTACGTCTTCATACACAGAACGAGAGATAGTTTGTTAAATATGCGTAGCAAGGTTGTATCTTTAAGTCATTTCAAAATATCACACTACTTTTAAAATAATAAACCAAGGTGTGAAGAATGACAAGATACCCTTTCAAGGACGCGAAATGGTCTTAGCTCGGGAATGGCAAGAAAAGATCACATTCTAGTACATGTTGTTATAAATATGACCTACGTAGAAACCAGGCATCTACATCTACCTTCACAGAGAAGTATCCTCGCATAAAATAAAGAACAGTGAACTTGGAAACAAAATGGCTTGCTAACAATATTAACGAAAATTAAACGTAGTTAAGAATATACTAACGTAATCCATTGCAACGTGGCTATTAGTAATACCTACAGACTAATATTTAATCGTAACATATACGTCACTGTTATTGCACACCTAACATTCTAAATACCCAGCTATACTATATAAACTGTTTTTCACTTAGAAAATGAGCATGTTGTCGGTAGGAAAAGAACAGTTGGTCCGTGGTCTGTCTGTCTGATTCGGGTATTTGGTGTGAACAGATCGCCAATTTACAAAACTTAAATGATGCACGTTACAGAAGCAATGACCATATATTGAGTGACGTCGTGTTCATGACGACCATCAGAGGCACACTCCACTCTTGGATTGTGGGGACGTCATGGCGGGCGAACGGGGCGGGTTCACACAGCGTTTCTTTCTGTATGAGCGTGTCGCCCTTGGTAGTCTCACTGAGTAGACACTATACATAGTCAGCCTCATTTCATAAATCGCTGGCGTCAGCTTCAGCTGTGATGACAAAGCTCGCCTCTGTGTCCTCTTGGGTCTGTTCTTGCTGATCGTCTCCGGTGTTTGCGTCAAAAGTGATCTGAAACGATGTTTCTGTTTCTTCCGTGGTGGCTGCGACGTTTGGTGAAGGTTCCCTTGGCCTTTCTGCTTCAACATGTACTACCTGAGGACTTGCCTCTCTAGATACCCTTGGGGATGGAGTCTTTGTTTCAATATGGCGCAAGGGAACATTGTAATGGTTCCCCCTTTCTTCGCTTGGGCCTTCGTTTTCTTCTTTGGTTTCCGTGGTAACTGTAGTTAACGTGAAAGGCTTTGGCTGATTAACAGGAGCATCCGGTTCAGCTTGTGGAAGCACGTTCCTGTGCAGGGACCTTGTACTCGTTGTAGTGGTCGTCTGCTTGAAAGTCGAAGATTGTGACTGTGGTGCTGGTTTCGATGTTGGCTCAGGCCCGTAAAATACTCCGACTGAAGAGGTCTGCGGTGATTGTGGAAGCACTTGAAACACGCCGGCCTTCGGGTGAGGGGCTTTGAAGGAGATTGGACGAAATCCTTTCTTTTCCACAGTGACTTCTTTCCTTTCTATCCTTGGAGGCAAGACATATATGGGTGGATGTTGCACGTCATCTGAATAATCAGAATACTCCCCATCAGACAACCAGGCCTCGGCGTCCTCACGTTTAGGACTTGGCCGTCTCCAGGCCCTGATCCTGGGGTTGTAGTCCCCAAACACTTTTTTAGACCCGGATGCAGTGGAGCTGGTCTCAGATTGAGGAGTGGCAGGCGGTGGTGCTACTTGTGGGCTCGTGGCTTCTGGAGTCGGACTGTAGTAGTGTACATCTGAAAGTTAAAAAAAACATGTTGTCAGTAACATGAATGAAAAGGACCTATTGTCAACTCCATATTTTTGCAAATGGTTTGTGCTCCTGCTCGCTGAGGGTTCGTTCCGTAAGGAGATCCACCAAGAAATCAAAATTTTCATTTCCAAAATCCAGTGAACCCAAATTACATATATCAAAACGGTGGTACATGTTTTTGATTGCATAAACTGTTAGTTGTAGTGAAAATCGACTTATTCTATAACGAAGATAACGTTTTCAGATGACTCCTGCTCATTATGTTCGTTTATAAGATGTTGAGGCTTTGTTTTTTAGTTTTTGTAGAACAAAAAAAATGTTAAAATACGCGTTGAATTAGAATTGCTCCAAAAGATGTTGTTCAATGGTCCGAATATGGAAAGTGAAGTTGATCAACATATGCCTCTGAGTATGCGCAGTTCAAGATATGCCTATAACATTACCTAGCAAAAAATAGCAATGATAACACATGACCTCCTACACTTTCCTGACTAAGTTTTGATTTTAACGACATAAACCAGCAGTACATCAAAAATTCGGGGTCAAAAGGACTCCTCCTTCCAACAAAACCTCCAAGATGCCTTATCAAATGCGTCTATTTCCCATCGATTCCAATTACCCTCTATGTGTTGTTTTCAGTTAAATACTCAAAACATTTAACCTAGACTGGGCACATTCAAAACAAATTGGTTAGTGAATGAACGACCCTCTCTCAGTGGAACACAGGTAATATTTATTTTGATGACATATGTTATTACAAGGAGCGTGTGTCGACTGGCGTATTTCACTTAAGCTTTCGATAATTTAGATCTATTGCTCAACCAAGTTTGACGTCAGTTCAGAAAGTGTGGCTGGCACATTTTAAAATGTCCCAAACTCTCTTTTGAGTTTTGCCTAAACACAATCCCAGACACTCCAGAAGCGAGATTTATGATGGACATAAAACAGTGCTCGTTCGTAAGACACTTTCTGGTTTGGCTTATTTTCGTTGTCAAAAAATAGACATACCTTATTACCATTGACCCCCCGATAGTAAATGAGCGAATAGCTGAGGAATAAGTGCCTCCGAACACCTGCCGTCTGGCAGGTAAACAAGACGAAGCAGGAACCCCTGCCTCGTTGGAGGCCCATCCAGGAGATAATTCCACCACCCAGTTGCTGGATTCGCACCAGGGGACCTCATAAAATTAAGGGAATTAATATTGTGTGATATTAGCTGTCCATATTGCACCATTTAGACCGGTCATTCAGTATCTCCACTGCGATTTTACATGTTTACTAGTTTTGTGATTCATGAATAACCATCCTTTGGTGTTACTCGGTTAAATCATTGCTGAAACGCTTTCACTTAATGTAGTCCAAATCAACTTATAAATTCCTGATTTTCGCAATGCCAACATAATCTAGGAGTACATCAACGAGGAAATCTATTTAGCGTTTATTAAATCCGGCCGAAATCGCTATACTCAATAAACCATTCAAAGGGTAGTCAATAAAAAAAGAAAGAGAAGGATCGAGAAATATAATAAAAATTGCACGCCGATTTAACCCCTCTTGGCCCTGCTATTTCGACACCACACTGAAGGCGAGCTGGATCTGTTTGTCCAACCTGTTGGTGCCTCTGGCACTTCAGGTAACTTGTATTTGACTGTTCTGTCTGTTCTCGGGAAACGCTACATACTATCACTGCAGGAAGGAATCTTTAGCAAGTGGTAGAAATCGACACCCAACATTGCTGCAGGCCTTGCATGGTGTTATATCTGGGATTCTAGTTTTTTCTTGCAAGTGTTTTGCTTTTAGTGGCAAAGCACAAAATTTGTATCTATTGCCTTTTCCAAATAGTTCAGTTGGTTTCATTATCAAACCGCAAACTGATGAACGTACAAATCATCCATCGGTTTCGCCTATGAATGCACTTAAACCATATATATTCTAATATGAGTACATTCCCCTCCCAGATTAAGGATACCATTTAGAAATATACGTTAAACAAACAGTCTATTCAAATTTTGAATATGGACGCCAAGGCAATTGTACTTACCTCAGCAAAATTAAATCTTGTCCGAAAAATATTAAATCATGGTACTGTGTTTTTTTTCCGAGATGATAATCAGTGATGTTATTACTAAGACTCACTATTCTAAAAAGCACAGAGAAGAAGAAACAATACGAAACCCAGAAGACTTCATTCCCAATACAAAATATTCAACAGGAAAAAGATTGCAACACATTGTGTAATAATCTTATTACACAATGTGTAAAAAGATTATTACACATTGTGTTCAGTGTTCTTTCCATCCTCACATGAACTCGGCTACACTTACCCCGGTTAGAAAGCCGATACCAGGACACCTTTGTACAAGTAAGTAGCTAAAAAGGCAAGGGGCAGTAACATATAGTAGTATATACAGCATTGGTATGGTTAAACACGTAATGGGTAATAGCATTAAGCATTATACAACTCTACCAAGGGCCCGTTTCAAAAAAGGTTCTTAATAAGTAAAAATACATACATATGTAAACTTTAAAGGAATTTTTGTCTGATTCAAGATGTGTAGCTGATCACCACGCTAAGTGACTTAGCTGTGAAACAGGCCTGAAGTAAACGACCAGGTTCTTGTTTGCTAACGTAATTGAATGAATATAACGCATCACAAAACGATATAACACAGGCAGGTGTAACTCAAACAATGCACCTTTACTGTATCACCGCTATTTTCAGGCCACTCAAGTCAAATAGTTGCACAGCTCAATTTCACTGTTTCAGTTTTAGCCAAACAAATAAAATGGCTTGTTAGGTTTTTGCTCTTGTTGAAAACAAAAATTGCTTTGACAAGCAAGATGCGCCTTTACTTAAGCATTTTTCATATACCAAAGATTAAATGCAGACAAGACATTTTTGAAGCAAAAGGAATCGATTTAGAAAACAAAGATGTCCCACCAATGACAGTTGCCCAACAATTCATTTTGAGTGACCTGGACCTGCATCTTTTTTTTTCATTACATTATATATAACGATAGACCTCATATAGTGCATGCGATACAACAAACCATCAAGCTTTAGGAACAGGTCAAATTGAAACCCTATTTGCGGATGCAGACAAACCACTAGTACAAAACACTACTGAGGTAACGTTCACAACTGACGGTGACGAGGAACATAATACACTTTTTATAAATGAACAGGTTCATTTTTATATGCTGCATATGGTGTCAAAAGAATAACAACGTTTTCGTTTTAAAGGGAAGCTTCATGACTGTCCACTTGACGCAAAAAAGTCAAGGTGATTGAGCATAAAACTATATGGTCATAATTACTGTCACAGGGATACCATATCGTCTCCAAAAGAGTTCCTTTGGTTTCAGTAATCGTGAAAGAGCATGCACATCGGTGTAATCCTTCCCTTCATAAAGAAGTAAAAAAGGTGTAAACCTCAAGCGTTGATTTGGTATCGTGAAGACAAACTTAGGGCACCATGCGGTGTATCCTCTTAATTTCAATTTCTGTTAACATCAGACGATTAGCTAAATTGACGAAGATTGTTATGCTAGCTTATAGGTACAAGTTGTTATACTAGCTAATTCAAACCAAACATTATTTTGCTAAGTATGGAAGAAAATACAGAAGTGAAAAAAATTGGTCTCAACTTACCCGATCCAGTTTCTGCTCTGACAGCAGAGCGAGGGGTCCATCCACGAATCTTCCGATTGTGATCGGGGAACTGACTCCCGGACGCCGGCGCAGGCCCTCCCAGGGTCGTCCCGGGGGAGACGGGGGAGGAGGTAGAGGTGCGTTTCCAGGACTCGGGGGGTCGGGGTTGGAGTTGGATCGGTAAATCGGTCATATCCAAAGACTTAACGGCACGGCGGGATCCAGGCTGGTGGTTAATATGGGTGAAGGCATCATCCAGGCTGAAGGGATTCTCCATGGCCGCCTCCCATGGGCTCTTGTAAGTTTTCACGGCAACCACCTCCTCCAGTTTCCTGGTAAGGGCAACAGGTGGGGGTGGGGGACTTTTAACATTGGTTTCATCTATGATATACTTATCAGCGCGTTCACGACGCTTGGCAAAGATGGTCGCTCCCCGACCTTTTTGCTTTTGTAAATCCTTGGCAATATTGAAACACATTTGAGGTGACACGACGTTGTGTCTGCATTTGTCTTGCCCAAGCCTCAGCCTCTCCACCTCTTGCGGGGTGAGAACCGCTTTATCCCCATGCCTCTCACCATACTCCCCCAGGGTATCTACCGGCCACAGGGGAACATGTCCGGGGTATTGATACATGCCTTCTAGGTTGTGACTATCAGGGTGTGGTGAATCGGGTTCTATGTCATCAAAATCCTGCAGCCGTCCAAGACCTTCCCCTAGCGACCCCTCACTGCTATAGCCACTCACACTGCCAACGGTATAGCCCACATGAACCCACTTGGAGGATTTGCGCTTACGTTTGGCATACATTCTCCCACCCCGGGCCCTTTTATTGGCCGCGGCTTCTAGGGACTTGGCAATCTTGCGAGCCATCTGGACCTGTTCATTGACGGTAGGGTACAACTCACCTGGGGCATCGTAAAATGCTGAATCTGCAAACTTCTCTGAAAGCAAAAAACCAGAAGGATAGAGGGCAGGTGTAATTGCAATAGCCAGATATCACCGGATATATTTAATTCGGGGGGTAATTTTAATTGTTCTTAATTTATTCATAACAACCTGATCGCCCCTAGTCGGAAATTGGCTCCCGGTTGGCCATGGAACAGGCATAGATCAGATATAAGTTATATATCAGAAGTCTCTTGTTACACCTGGAATAGTTGCAGATGCGCCAATGATTTTGCTCCGCTAAGAATAGGCCGCGTTGTTGCACATAGGCAGTGCGTTTGTATGTATGTATGTACAGTGTGTGTGTGCAAGCACGCCACTGTGGTGAGTGGCAGATGGATGACCGCGGCAGGTGCGCGGTATGAGTGGAGTTATGTAGGTGTGGTCACCTATGTAATAAGGGTCGAGTGTCCGTGCAATAAGAGATAATGTTGTTAATTGGTGGCCTAATCAAGATACTTTTGTCATGGTAACAAACACCACCCAAGGCTTTTACTGTGCTGATGATGTACATATGTTTAATAAAAATTGCTTTCATATCAGTAACATTGTCATTACTCGAATTTCCAATAGCCTATCAAAAACAATACGAATGTACATGTACCATAACATAAATAAATAAATTTTTTAATTTTCAAACATTTAATTTTATGTCGTGGATGGCCATTAATAAGATACCCGAATGTCCTACCTTTCTTCATTATTTTAAGTACAGATAAATTCAACTGAAAATAAAAGGTGGCTGAATGCCAGCCATATATATATATTTTTTTACAGGGAACGAAGTTGTTACTTTGAGTGGAGGAAGTGGTGTGAAAAACACTCCAACTTGGCTTTCCCTATCAATTATGATATGATGAATATTGGATTAGCTACATAAAAATTCATCGCATGCTTTACAGTTTCGCAACTCTGCACGGTCCTGCTGTATCAATTGAATATCTCAAACAACCAAAGACAAAAATATTTTCTTTTCTCCTTAGTAAAAAGAAAAAGCAAAAAGTCTTTTCGCGTTTTTTTGGTGCTCTTTCATAGTACAATTTTTTCAATCTTTTATCCCTATCTTTATCAATAATTTAAGGATAACGTATTAAGTTGCCCGTTCTTATATTGATACTTCGATCCTTCGTCAAATAAATAAATAAATAAATAAATAAATAAATAAATAAATAAATAAATAAATAAATAAATAAATAAAACTAAGCAAAAATCATGAGAGCCTAGAAATGGAGATCATCAGGACCTGTCCATACACCTTTGAGTGTCAGAGATTCCTGGAAACTTCCCTATGTTATCCTAGGGGTCATCGATTTTTATCATCACAAAATTTTCACAAGTGTACAAACTGTACGCATGGAGGAGGGGTAACGCACTTTGCAAGTTCTGAAATTAAAAAAAATGATGATCCAAATTGCTGTCAAAGATCATCATATTTAGCTTTTCACTTTGTACTTTCTGAAGGGGTGTGGTCTGGAAAAAGTCTACTCTTTGTAGACTTGTGAAAAAGTTGATAAAATGAATAACCCCTTAAATTATCAGCATGGTTCTGCTATTAAGACAACATAAACCCGCTGATAATAACAAAGAGTTGAGTATCCGGCAATATCTGGAACCTGCTGGCGCATACTTACTCTTATGCGATGTTGGTGACAAGGGGGTCTCATCCTCAAACTCAGACGGAGTTAAAATCTTCCTCAGTTTCAACGCTTCAATTTTGTGTCCTCGTTTTTTCAAAGCGGACGCCATCTCCTCGGGATCCAGAAGACACTGACGCGCTTCCTGGGGGGTCGGCGGTAGGTGGGGAGCCGACCAGATCGGGAGGCGACTGATGTCAACAACGCTGCCATTTTGAACCGATGACGTTGGGGTGCTGGTACCATCGACCTCATGATGTTCTTTACTTGGATGGGCATCCGGTTGGTCTTGGTCAGGGTGCGGAGACCAAATAGCCTTCTTGCTCTTCACCTTAACACTGCTCACCTTGAACATCGGTTCAGGGGGCGGCGCGTTCTCTTTCCCAGCAGGCGTTGACGTCAGGTACAGCGTTGTCGATGCTCTGGGTGTCGTAATTTCTCCCTTACTATCAGGCACCCCCGGGAAGCTCTGTTTCTCCGTGGACACATACGACTTTTGTTCCCCATCCACGTTGTAGGTGACGGCCGTAGTGGTGGTTCTCTCAGTCGTCTGTCCATCGCTGAGTAAAGATGTGCGGCTGACGGCTGTAGAAGCGTAAGTGGTCCCAAACGTCGGTGGTTCAGATACTGGTTTGATTACAAAGCTTTTGGCTAAACTGCGCACGGGCACGTGCGGGGCAGCTGGCGGTGTTCCTCCCCTGTAAATAAATAAATAAATAAATAAATATACGAACGAACAATGATTACAAACAATTAAATTGATAATTACTTTAAAAACTGCAAACGATTTCTGGGTGATAAGGCACTGTTCTATTTTAAAACAGTTGTTGTATTTTAAAACAGCAATCAGAGACAAATTAAAGACATAGTAAGTTGCATCAACTGTTGCCATATTCGATTATTTACTTTTTATGTAAACAAACTGTAGTATTAGATGTGGCACAGACAACAAACATTGTAAACATGTGACATTAAAAGCTGAATACGTTATCATTATTATTATTAGTAAATCATGTATCTAAATATTAGTGTTGCTAGATCAAATGAAACTCCCAATTTAGTCTACTTAAAAGTCAAAAAGCACTTAATTCGTGCTAGTGTAACACCTTTGCAAACTATAAAACAGTGGTGGTGATGATGAAGGTGATCAGGGGCAGATCCAGGATTATTTGTCGGGGGGGGGGGGGGGTTCGCGGACGCAAGGCCGACCCCCCCCCCTTCGGTATGGGGTTCGGGGCCCGCTGAAGGTAATATAGAGGGTGAACGGTGCCGTTGAGTAAGGTATAGAACTTTGATTCAGCTAGTCAAAATTCTAATTTCAAGAAAGGACCATTGGTGTTTTTTTTTCAGAAATCAAAGGTTGGGGAGTCAGGACAACCTCCCCCATCCCCATATCCGACACTGGTGATGATATAAGTGTGTTTATCTTCTTTAATCCAATCGCTGATGATTTATATTTACCTTTGTATCTCAATGGACAGGTCGTTCCCTGCAGCGTCCACCATATTCATAGCTTCCTGGTAAGACTTGCCTAGCACGCTCTCACCGTTCACAGCGAGCAGCACATCTCCCTCTTTCAACCCCGCCTGCTGAGACTTGCTGTTAGCACGGAGCTAAAATATAACACAGTATTGTGTACATATTAGAATAGACAGTCGGAAAGGAAAAGGATATCAGAAAGGAGATTTCTAGATCTGCGTGGCGGTCGAATGGTTTATGTGTCTTCAATTTCTAATCCATCTGAAGTATAAGAAATAAGATTGAAGAATAATATAGGACGCTATAGTTATTGTTATTTTGTATGTGGAAAAGGAAAGCGCAACCTCGTAGAAATTTTACATGAAAGTTGCCGCCTTCGTAAAAATTCCAAAAGCAGCAAGAAGCAAGGTGTAGAATATTTGTATGTATGGGCAGTAGGGGTATAAGTACGCCCGGTAGTGCATCTGAATGCACGGTCTTTCTGACTTATTTATTTCTTAGAAAAAGGGGAAAATAAAATGCACAACAGGCTCCCTTGAAAAAACTCCAAGTGGTCTCTTACGCGATCACAGCCAGGTCCTACTTTAACGCTTGCATAATAAGCCCTGATTTGTGCTATTAAAATTCACTGGCATGTTCAAGTCAGGTGCGTTAATATTGTGGCACCAAGTTTTACTCGCGCACCTGGGAACGCGAGGTCATATATGTTTAGATGTAGGGAATCATCAATCTTCTCACATTCGTCTCACTCCGACTTCTCACTTTCCTGTGATGAAAATCTGAAATCGCATTTCTATATTTCAAGCCTCTTATCCTGCGATGCAACAGAGAATACATCGCATACTTTCTTTATCAATACCTACATTTTGAGCAAGGAGGTCAGCATTGCGAAGAACGGGGTTTCTTGGCAGTTGTTGAAAATGCCCCCTCCCCCTTCCTTCTGATTCCAAACCCTTGGTTCTGCTGCATCACCTGTTTTTCCAACGAGTTCAACACCTTTTTATACTTTGCTATTATTACCTTCTGACTTCCAAGTATATCATACGTGCCCTGCGGTTGCACAAGACAACGTCAGTCCTCTCCTCCCCCACCTCTGGCTCTGTTTGTTGTTTGTTGCAAGTGCTGCACTATGGGTTGATTTCGGTATTATTACGGAGTACACTGTACCAACAGCAGAATTGGGGCGGGGGGGGGGGGGGGGTAAATGTAGATCCTTAAAGTCAAACAATCGCGCTTTTTAAAATTAGTAAACGACAAGAAAGGGGTAGGGATGGGGCATCGAGGGGTATTTGAACTGTACAGCACCACGCACAACACACTATGTACAACACACTGCTGTGCCAACTGCCCTCTCTTGGCACGTACATTCCTCCTTCACTTGAGAAACCCTGCTGGACTTCAAAATATCTCTCATCTCAAATATAGGGTTTTCCAAATAAAAAGCTGTGGTTTCATATTACCTGGATTTAATAACAATTTACCCTAGGGCCTATTTTCTACCTCATCATCTCAAAACACGAAAATATATACCCCGTACTTCTCTCGGCGTAGTCTCCCGTCTTTCAACGGGAAATTCACCTGTTTTCTCCGCACTGAAACAAACTGACTGAAAATAACCCTGTTCTCGGTTGCCATTCAAACATATTGCATCCAACGCACTATTAATTAGAAAAATATCAAAAACACAGAGAAAAAACTTTTATATTTTTCTAAATACAACAACAGATATGTTTTTTTAATCCGTCACTCTTGACCCGATTCTATCCCTGCATTAGTGTGAGTGTAGTGTTAGTCAAATACAAGTCTCAGATCTTGGTAATGTGGGTTTTATCCAAGTCAAATATTGAGTTCACTTTATATTAGCCGTAGCCTTCAAATACAGACACGCTCAGTGCTGCACCAAATCCTCTTGAAGTCTGAAGGTAAACACGGTCATGTGGAACACACATTTACTATACGGCGAAGAAAAACACTGAGAAATTCATGTATAGGTTAATGATAAGAGAACGTAATGGGATTTCGGTGCGAAAAAATACTTTTTTCCTCAATAATCTTCTCTTACCTAACCAGGGCCATTTTTGTGATTTCCTAACATGAATGCCTAGTTATGTTTTACGGTCACCTTTTTTTTAATTTTTGGTAAATATACATACAATATTTGAACAGGCGTTTAATATTCCATCATAAGGTGTTTAAGGGTATGAGCATGTGTTGTCTACAGAAAAGATGGGAAGTATAGTAAAAAAAAATTAATAAAAAAATGAAATAAAAAACTCCCTCAAACGTCTCCTTTTCGTCTGTACGGTTCAGACGGCTTTTCCGCTGTGAAAGATGAACCACTTCCAGGGCCCCCTCCGATTGTCAGAAACACCCTAAAACAAGTTTTCATTTTCAAGCAATCACTTTTGAATGCTCCTAGGGTGCCCCTGTCTTTTATTTTTCGAAAATGGATTTTTAGCGCGCGCGCGCGCGCGAGCGTGTGTGTGTGTGTGTGTGTGTGTGTGTGTGTGTGTGAGAGAGAGAGAGAGAGAGAGAGAGAGAGAGAGAGAGAGAGAGAGGGAGGGAGGAAGAGAAAGGGGGTTAAGTGGTTACGCAAACAGCATTGTGCTTCAAAGAGTTCAGGTATGTTTTTCACAAACGCTTTGATGTACAGGTAATACTTGGGTTTTTGCCCTGCGCAATTTTACAGCTACATGTATCATGTCGGCTATGATATAAGTATGCTTGTTGTCCTTCATTCAAATAACTAACCCCCCCCCCAAAAAAAAAAAAAAAAATGTTTCTCCACTTCTTCCATAAAATTACAAACCCAGCTTTCCATTCGCCCAGATGCATATTTCACATTAACGCAAACATCAGTTTTAGTGCATTTCTTTAATCAAGACATCGAGGGACCGTCTCAAATTCATCAAAAAGGTAACAATAATATCACTCTGAGGGGCTGATTAGGACGAGGGGGATATTACGTCAGTAGTTTTCCTCTTGATGGAGGGTGAGAAATCAAAATTAAAAGTGAAGCGACATTTTCACATGTGGTTTGATTCAGTGACGGATATGTATAAGAGAAATAACGAGGAAATATTTTGTAAGATGAGGCAACTTTGAAACCTCCCTCTTCATCATTACACGCAGGCTCTGTGTTATATACATAAAGGTTCGAACTAAGACCAAGATGGAAAAGGTCAAAAACTAAAGATGAAATACGACTAGACTTGCTACGCCTTTGCAGATCCATATAGTCCGACAACTACCAAGGCATAATGGCTGTATTTAAAAATATCTGTTACGATATAAGATAAACCAATGGGTTTTGTTTTAAAACGAGGCGAGTTCGTAGGTCTTTTCAATAAAATCTCTTCGGCTTATTCAGCAATACCCCACAACCGGCGCACAAGCAGAACTTCAAAGCACAAACACGGATGTTATCTCTTGCTATATATATATATATATATATATATATATATATATATATATTCACTAGTGTATATATGGTCTAATATAATGTAATAAGAATGCCTTCTTCACTTTTAAGGGGAAAAGATGCGTAATATAACACGCCAATACCCCGTTAGCAGTCTGGATACCTTTTTAAAAACTTGAACGCAATAAAGCAGCGATGTTAACCGCTTAATCGCAGTAGCCCGTAGCAATTACAGAAACGATTTGTTAATGTCATTAGTATAAATTATCGAACCATGACGCACGGTGGCCTGCAGACGCTGAAACTAGAGCTGGCGTTTAATCAACACACACAGCAACGCGATGTGCTGTTCCCCAGGTGTACAAGGTTAAAACCATCACCTTACCTTAGCCACTTGAAGGGGGCTTGTGCTGCCTCCTTTCAGCCGAAATCCCCAGGGACCCCCACCGGCCAGCTGGATGACCAGACGCTGTTCTTCGGCCATTTTTGGGGGACAGTGGTGCGTCGGCTCTCGAAATGTTTCTTCTCCTCGGGATGTTGGCTGTCTGGCCTAAGCCAGAGCCAGCCTCGTCTTCAGAGTGTTGGAGGAACTGACTGGAAGCGTAGGGCTATGATTACACACGGACCAAGGCAACACTGCTTTTGAGGAGACTTAGGGGTTGCGCTAGTTGAAATATTCAGCCCACCTACGGAGGCAAGGCAGAATCACCCCACACACAGGTCAAGACAAATATTTTGTTTGGATGTAATCGGTTCATCGATAAAACTTACTGAAAATGACACAATGCATCTGAAAACGGCATAAAGTCGGGGAGAACGTGCACGTTTAAAAAATAGAAAAAAATTAAATGAAGCACATCGTGTTTTATCTTCTTAAAATGTATTATTTTACGAACATTTGAAGCGCTTAAAACAATTTTATTTGTAATTTGTTTTTATCCCTAAAATTAAATCTTTCTCAAAATGCGCGGAGAATTTGAAGGCAAGTATAGATTTCAGTTATACTGTAGCAAGGTGACCGACTATTGGTGCATGTGTCCCAAAGTCATCGGCGTATTTTCTTTGATTACATATCCTACAAAGCACTTATTTCCCCCAATTCTAGACCTTGAAAACGATGAAGCCCATAAAAGAAAAGTAGGGCTTACCTGGTGAAGATATTTTCTTCCGAAATGTACAGGAAGACATGACAGTCATAACATCTTGTCAGATAACAAGGGCGGATCCAGGATTAATTGAAGGGCGGGTCCGTGGATGCGAAGCCGACCTCTCCCTCCCCCCCCCCCCTTGGCGTGGGGTTCGGGGCCTGCTGAAAGGCCCCGAAAATTTTTTTGGAATTTAGAGGGCGAATGGGGCCATTTGGTACGGTTTGGAACTATGATTCAGCTAGTCAAAATTCTAATTACAAGAGGGGGACCATATTATGTAAATTTTGATGAAATTTACATATTATACATTTTTGTTGATTACGACATGATGAAAAGTTTTTTAAAAACCTTTAAAATAGACTTCAATTATGTAATAATGTTTATCAAAATTATCAAAATGGTGTTTTCAAGTAATCCTGATAGTTAATGGGCATTTGTGATGAATAATGGATTGTTTTAACTTCATTCTATAAAATTCATTCTAATAAATTGCTTACAAGGTCAGCTAACACAGGAGTAGTGAAAAGGTTTAGCAGTGACGACTTGACGTGAAGTTGAATAGTACTCAATGCACTCAATCTGTGGAATGTCAGGCGAATGTCAGGTGTGTTATTTGGGGCAATCCAATTCCAATAGAGGGGTGACAGGTGGGGCGAGTCCATTGCATCAGAGGGGTGACAGGTGGGGCGAGTCCATTGCATCAGAGGGGTGACAGGTGGGGTGAGTCCATTTCATCAAAGGGGGGGGGTGACAGGTGGAACGAGTCCATTGCACCTGAGGGGTGACAGGTGGGACAAGTCCATTGCATCAGAGGGGTGACAGGTGGGACGGGTCCATTGCATCAGAGGGGTGACAGGTGGGACGAGTCCATCGCATCAGAGGGGTGACAGGTGGGGCAAGTCCATCGCATCAGAGGGGTGACAGGTGGGACGAGTCCATCGCATCAGAGGGGTGACAGGTGGGGCAAGTCCATCGCATCTGAGGGGTGACAGGTGGGACGGGTCCATTGCATCAGAGGGGTGACAGGTGGGACGAGTCCATTGCATTAGAGGGGTACAAGGTGGGGCAAGTCCCTTGCATTAGAAGGGGCGACAGGTGGGGTGAAAATTTTTGATTTAAGCTTACACCAGAATCATCCCATTTTTTCATTATTACGTTCAAATATCAAATTAAGTATTTATACTAAGAATAGGCCAGCAATTTAAACAATTCACAATAGCAAAAGCCAAAACCCGTCGGAAATGGGACCCTCCCTATATAAAAAAATATATGAAAATTATATCTAAACCAATAAGTACCATATAGAACAAAAATCTCATGTGAATTTTTTTAAAAACAGGATTGTTAATTTATATAAATTTGAACTATAGCTCGTTGGAAACCATTTTTAGACATTTTATGTCAGTGCGCTAAAACAGCTTGGAGGGGTTATTTAGAAAATACTGGTAATTTTATAACTATTAAAATTTAGGTATCACAGAAAACAGTCAACCACAAAAACATTGACATTATTTACAGATCAGATTGAATTTGAAAGTCCTCAAACACTAAAAATTACTCATTTTCCATTATGATTACTTTTATCCTTATTTTAATATTTTCATAACAAAGTGAAAAATAAAACGCCAAATTTCAAAAGTTTTTTTATTGAGTTTTCACATAATAGATGTATGAAGGAGCCTGGGTTCCTGTGTGTGAAACAAAAGCTAGACTTCATAAGTTGCTTTCAGGCGGATGCTTTGCAGAATCTCGTTGAGCTCCTGAAAAGATAAAATAATGTTTACAACTTTGAAGTAAACAGGCAGGCTCTTAACATTCTAATAATGCATGTAACATCACAGGGCAGAGTGCACTTATAAATGAAATAATGGCGTGCACGTTTATTAACTTGTCTGATGTTCAGGTTCAGCTAGCGTTAAACCAAAATATTGACGCGCATTTCAGAGAAAGAGATCATTTACAAATTCTCTTCGAAAATTATAACAAATATATTGCACATATATAATAAGTTTTCATACAGTGAACCGTGTAATGGAAGAACACACGCCACAATGGAGACAACAGGCCGTGCTAAATATGCATCTGTTAATGATTGTATAATGGGCACTCGAAATCCTTGGACCAGAAGCTCGGAACTGTGACAAGCATCATCCAATTAATTGATTTGGGTAGTAATACTTACATTTAAAAACACACGACATTTTAAATTAGGTCAAAATATTCAAAATTATTGTCAAGGCCAGGGCACAAAAAATGTTCAAACAGAGGGTTATAAAGTGCAGAAGATTTCAAGCAAACTTAGGTTATCATCAAAAGTAAGATGAATGCACCGATTATCCTGAACATTTGGAGTCCTAATGCACTTTAAGCAATAATTTCTACCATTCTGAGAGACATACCTGTACATGTACAAGTGACAATGGAAATATAGTAAAAGGATCATGTCATAAATATTTGTCGTAAACATTTTTCTCATTCTTCTGCACCTTAAGTACTATATATAATGGCTGTGGTTGATGAAGAAACTGTGATACTTACAAACATACATTTGCTTCCTTAAGTACTATATATAATGGCTGTGGTTGATGAAGAAACTGTGATACTTACAAACATACATTTGCTTCCACGCCTTATAAAAGCTCGACCTTCTGAGTGCACCACACATACTGTTGCGTCTACAACCGACTTCGTCTAACTGCCAAGTGAGCATTCGGGAAGACAGCTCGCACTACGATGAACATTTTGTTGTTATGCAAATAACAACAGGTATAACTCATTTTAGGCGAGAGGAGGTGAGAGGTTGTTACTGAAAATGTTCACGAATGTTCAATAAACCCGGTGGTGATACCTTCATATATAATATGCTCAAAGTCGTGCAAATATTCTGTCACATACGATACTCTACAAGGTCAAGTGTATAACTGGGCCTACTACACATGTAGCCGAGGTGTAACAGGAATGGGACTCCGCTAGCAACTGTAGTCCGCTTCCCATTACTGTGTACAGATGACATTCGTCCATATACTTACCACAATACTCCAATTAATCCTAAACTGTACTAATCATATGGGAATCTGGACTTCCATTTCTAGGACTTCCACCCCTGTTACACCTGTTTCTCCTATGTGAGAAATATTCTGAAAAATCAGCATTGGGTGTCTTTCTTTACGCACACACACACACACACACACATACCAAAAAAAAAAAAAAAAAAAAAAAAAAAAAAATTTGCCATGCTGCGATACATTTTGCTCCGTTAGGGGAATTGGCCTGGGGGGTAAAATTAAATTTTCAGCATCAAGCCCACGTTCGCCATTCATGGAATTAGAAGTTTTAACTTAAAAGTTTTTAACGCGAACAAAGACGTGAGACGTCAATGATGTATCAATCATATCGTTTTGAATTTATAAGTCTTATATAAAACAACTTGCACCAGATTTTAGTCAATGATCAAACCTTTTTGATGAATACCCTCTGGTATCAGCAAGGAGTTTCAACAGTTGTAACTCCTTGGTATCAGGGACCTCTTAAATAATATGCAAAATGAAAGTACCAATTGTATAGGTACAACAATAATTTTTGTGACATAGGCTACTACAAGCGAACCCTGTGGTCAGAGAGAAAGAGCGAGAGAGAGCAGTTGCTGTGATGCTGACCTTAATTCCAGAGACCATTCGCCAGGAGACAGTTGATACAAATGAGGAAATGCGCTTTAAATGAACGCCGGGTAGGAGGTATTTATTCGCATAATACGAAAATGACGTCGGCGATGTTCCACTTGAACAATAATATTCCGAATTAATTTATGGCAACTTGATAATGATCATATGAGATTATTTCTTAAAGCTGATAATATAAGTATAATCAACAATCTACTAACAATATAGGTGTAGGCTAATGCTTCGGTGATGAAAAAATGCACCGAAATCGGCGATTTTCTTTTATACCAATTTTCCTTTGCATCTAAAAAAAATAATTTTGAAAATATATTTTATGTGCAATTAGTGGATTGGTAAAGTGACCAAAAGCTCGGTGTACTTTCTACATATTTAAAAACAAATTTTGAGAAGAACATAATACGAAAAAAAATTGATGAGGCCTATTATGAATAAATCACGCGCTACTCATTTTCCAAAGTCTAGCTTATTTTTTTTTAACCTCAAGAATACTTTCTATCTGCTTTTTCATCTGTGTCCTAAGAAAGAAAAACGTATTTTATGTTGTCAGATTCTCAAAAGTTGGAAAAGTAATGATAACGAGCACCTTGCCTGCCATGCCCCGAGTCTGCTCGACGGTGAAAAAATTGCCAAGAGGAGCTACCGCAAGTAATATCGATCTCGCTTATTTCCCTCTCTCTTATCCTCCTCGTAAACACGGCATGCTTTGGCATGCGGAATTCCCCCTCAATGACTGCAATCACGAGAGGATGGGCTCAAGGCTGAATCGGATTGAAAGTGT